AAAAGAGATGTAGATCACTAGTGTAAATGAATGTAAGTTCTGTTTATGCTTATGTTTCTGTATTGACGATGACATCCCAAATGTTTTTAAATGGATTAAAATACATTTCTTCGGAAATGCTTTGATAACGTATTTATCATGTTTTTCTGGGAACAAATTCCGCAACATTTTTATTAAAAGAGGTACTCTGATTTTTATAAAGCATAAACAAAATCGGTTTTTTATGGCCGTGAAAATGGGGATGTCACATCCTCCCATGGTCTTCACATAAGTAAATACATACCAGATAACAAAACCATTGCATATTCAACTATTGAAATCTCATATCAGGTAATGGGTCGGCATTGGTGCCTTCGACCCATTGGTATAGTGAGAAGACTCACCTCAGTCTGCTGAAAACAATAGTTGCTCGACTACCAGCCCAAAATCTCACACTGAACAAATATATATATATATATATATATATATATATATATATATATATATATAACCTTAATTAGGATTATAACTCAACCCACTCAAAGGCCCAAAATTCTAAGTTCAAGTCCCTCCATAATTGCCCAAAGGTCATTCCTTCACTAATGGGCCTAGCATCAAAGTCCAACTCTATATTGGGCCATAAGGCCCAATAAGCCCAAACATACCAACATTGGCCTAAAGATAAATTCAGTCCCAAACACCAGCAAGTCCAAGCCCAAAACCATTAGGGCCCAAAGGTTCGAAGTCCGCCAAGGCCCAAAGCTTCCTGAGAGCGTACGCCCAGCTTATCTCTTCTGTACACTTAGCGTATTAGGCTAAGGGGTTGTACACGCAGTGTCGAACATAGTACACCCAGCGTACAAACTGTATTGCATCCAACTCCATTAGGTCCTTAATGTATGCACACTTTTCGCTCAAATTCTAGATCTTAACCGATTTAAGGGTCCTAAGGCATAAAGTTGGAAACTTTATGCCCTTGCATGCCATATATGCTCCAAACAACTCTTTCTATCTCATTAAGACCTTTCCAAGGGTTGTAACTCATGCATGGAGCCATAGAGGTCATCAAGTTTGCATTTTATGATATAATCAAGCTAAAAGATCTCAGATCTATCCTTCCTAACCGATGGAGCTGCTCAAACTCCCAAGAGAGGATTTATGGACTCAAAAGAGCACTTGAAGAAAACATAACTCAACAAGCAAAAAGAATAAGAAAGGTGAAAGTTGTTTACCTCCACAAGCATACCAAGCTACTCCAAATGCAAGATCTAAAAGCTTTTCCCACGTTCAAAGCTTTCTTCCACTTCCTTCTCTTTGCTAACACACCAAAAATGAGGTATTTGAGGCACTTCCAAGTTCAAGAGTTGCTCACAAAGAATTTAGGGTTTTGGGGACGTTTGAGAGTAATGGAGGCTGGTTAGGGTAAGGTCCAAATGATATAAGTGTGCTTAAATAGTGACCAATCCAAGAAATTAGGGTTTGGTCATTAGCGTCGTACGCCCCACATGCATGCTCATACGCCCAACGTACGAGCCTCAGCCACCCGCCGCATTCACACACATATGCTAAGCGTACGCATACGTACGACCAGCATACGGAGGGTCTATTTTGCCAACATGAATTACTTTGAGGGTTAAAAATGGTATACGTAGATTTGAGTGTTACAACTCTCTCCCACTTGAATTAGACTTCATCCTCGAAGTCTGTCCTCGCAAATAGATTCGGGTAATGCTCTCGCATATCATCATCCGGCTCCCAAGTCCATTCGGAGCCCTTCCTGTGCTGCCATTTCACCTTCACTAGTTTCACCACCTTGTTACGAAGAGATTTAGTTTTTCTATCCAAGACTGCAATGCGCTTCTCCACATAGTTTAGGCTCCTATACACCTAAATATCATCCAAAGAAATAACTGCAGCCTCATCTGCTACACACTTCCGGAGCTGAGACACGTGGAAGGTGTTATGGATCTAACTGAGCTCATCAGGAAGATCTAACCAATAAGCAACCCTGCTAACTCGGGCAGAAATCCTGAATGGACCAATGAATCGGGGCCCCAGCTTGCCCATCTTCCGAAACCGGATGACACCTTTCCAAGGTGACACCTTCAGCAAAACAAAATCTTCCACCTGAAACTCAAGATCTGAACGACGTTGGTCAGCATAGCTTTTCTGACGACTTTATGTGACTCGTAGCCTGTCGCGCACCTGCTGAATCAAATCGGTGGTCTTAAGAACCACTTCAGTCCTTCCCATGACTCGATGTCCAACCTCCCACCAACAAACCGGAGTCCTACACCTCCGCCCATACAGCATCTCAAATGGGGGTCGGTCAATACTAGCATGATAATTGTTGTTGTATGAGAACTCTGCTAGTGGAAGGTAAGTATCCTAACTCCCTCTAAAGTCTAAAACACATGCCCGAAGCATATCCTCAAGCGTCTGGATCGTCCGCTTGCTCTGCCCATCAATCTGGGGGTGGTAAGTTGTGCTGAAAAGCAGTTGAGTACCCAACTCCTCATGAAACTTCCTCCAGAACCTAGAGGTGAATCGAACATCGCGGTCCGAGACCACAGATACTAGCACTCCATGCCTGACCACCACCTCCCGCACATAGATATCTGCTAATTTCTCGGCGGAAATACTCTCGGAAATCGAAATAAAATGAGCACTCTTGGTCAGCCTGTCCACCATAACCCAAATAGAATCAATACCCCGTGCCGTCCTGGGTAACTTTGTGATAAAGTCCATGGTGATCTCCTCGCATTTCCACATGGGGATATGTAATGGTTGAACCTTGGCGTGAGGCCTCTGATGCTCGGCTTTGACCTTCCTGCAGGTCAAACACCGCTCAACAAACCAAGCAACTTCTTGCTTCATGCAGGGCCACCAGTAGCTCAATCTCAGGTCTCGATACATCTTCGTGGCCCCCGGGTGGATAGAAAACTTGGACATAATTATGCGTCTCCTCGAAAATCTTTTCCCTCACTCCCCAAAATGTCGGAACCCAAACCATGCCACACTGAGTCAATAATCCTCGACTGTCCTGGACAAACAAAGGAATCTGACCCCTAATTCGCTCAGTCTTCCAATTTCCCTTCTTCAATCCCTCTACCTGTGCCCCCTTGATCATATCCATCAAAGGTGAGGTAACCGTCATCCTCAAGCAAACATCTCGAACCGGAGCACTTACCGCCCTACGACTCAAAGCATCGGCCACCACATTGGCATTCCTGGGATGATATAAAATCTCGCAGTCATAATCTTTCACCACATCTAACCATCTCCTCTGACGCTTTTCTAGATTCTGCTGATCCATCAAATATTTCAAACTCTTGTGATCGGTGAAGATGGTGCATCGGATCCCATATAAATAATGCCTCCAAATCTTGAGGGCAAACACAACCGCCCCCAATTCCAAGTTATGAGTGGGGTAATTCGCCTCATTAGGCTTCAGCTGCCTTGAGGGTAAAACACCTTATTTTTTAGAAATTCTTTTTACAAAGTCATTAGAATAGTGAGTATAAATATTCCTTAAATTTTTATAATTTTTGGAGAATTTTTTTTCTGGGTTTTTTTATAAATATAAAAAATAAAAAAAATATTTTTTTTTCAAATTTTCATGATTGTGCTCATTTTGTAGAGAATTAAATTTTAAGAACTTTGATTTTTTCAGATTTTTTTTTCAAAGAAAAAAAGTTATGGCCGAAAAACTAAGCGGGTGGAAAAAAAAACTCACCATCCAATAAGGGCTGGACATTTGTCATGCTCGGGGTGGGGGCACGTGTAGCTCCTGGAGAGGCTACATGACCAAATTTTCCTTTTCTTTTTTCTTTAAATCATTTTGCTTTTGTCACTTGTACCCTCCAAACAATTAATCTTTCTTAGAAATTATCAAAATCTCGCAATTACTTACGAAAATGTCATATCATCTCGCGAGATTTTGACAATAAATAAAATCAAATCCTGACCATTTATTTTTTCAATCTTAAGGTCAAAAATAGTCATCGTCGTTCCTATCATTTTTTGAGTTCCTACTTAATCATATATATATATATATATATATATATATATATATATATATATATATATATATATATATATAGAGAGAGAGAGAGAGAGAGAGAAAGAGAAATTATATTTTCATAGGTTCGGCTTTTATCGGTTTTTATGCTTCCTAAAACTGAAATCGAACCCAATATTTCGGTTTTAAAAAATCTCAAACCTAAATTGTTGGTTTCTATTGTGGTTTCGGTTTTGTCGGTTTTTTTCGGTTTTTTGGTTTCCGGCAATGGCGGATGCAGAAAAATGTATGAGGGGTCGCACAATTTTTTGAAGGATACACCATTAAAAAAACTCATTTTCGTCATAAAATTCATCACTAAAAGGGTTACATTGACATATTTACATTAAATTTACATTTATTACGAATTAATTTGATGAATTTCGATGGATTTGTGACGGAATTGTGGCGGATTTGTGACGGTTTTTGATTAATTTACATTAAATTTTGCACTTAACGGTAAAATTTGAAGGGTTGTCCGTGCCACCTTAGGACACCATGTAAATCCGCCCCTGGTTTCCTGGTTCGATTTTGGTTTTGGTCACCCCTATAAAATACTCCATTCAAACGGAACACACTTAAATATTTGTGACAATATTTTTGCTATTTTGCAATAACAATGATTACTGATGTAAAATTTATAATCATCTGATGATATATAAGAAAAAAAAAACTATATCATTTTATTACATACATCATCCAAATTACGTCATTTTTTTGGTTATGCGTTTAAGCCTTTTTTTTTTAAGGTATGTGACATTTTTATGTATATTGCACTATTTCAAGTATTGAGGGATCAAAGTGTAAAAAACAATATTTAAAGGTGCAAAGTGATTTATTCTCGAAACCCACAGACAAATAAAAACCCCAAACTTCATTTCAACAACCTCCACACACCCTCTCTCCTTCTTACCTCGATTCACAGAGACGAACGGGTTCTCCGATCATCCGCCGCTCCAACATGTGCTACGGTTCCCAGCGATTACCACCATCCGGAGACGAAGTTACTCCTCCGACTGTCAGGTCCCGGCCGCCGACCGATGTAAACACAGCGGTTGTGGAAAGTCTGAGATTACGATTGGCGGAGACCGAGGTACGGCTGCAGCAAGCTAGGGCACGAGAGGCGGAGCTCAGCAAAAAGCTTCGTGAGATGAAACGTTTCGTATCCGTCATGGAGATTCTTGAATCGTATCTTAAACGAAGATTTATGGATCAACAACATCAACTTGCTGTTCTTATCTCTCAATCTCCGGTATCCAAATAAATGTTCATTTCCTTAATTAAAAAAAACAGAAGTTTATGTTTCTATAATTAGGAATCAGTATACAATTCATGTATGTCAATTTGTGTATAATAATAGGTGAATTTGCACTCTTGTTTCTTTGTTAATGAATCTGATTACCGAATTTTTGTAGATTATTGCTTTGATTTTGAATTTTTCAGTTGGTGGTTTAGAAAATCGTGATATTAAGAGCTTTTTGGTTCAATCTTGGTAGTGATTTGCTATAAAACATTTAGGAGACTTGAAATTTATGGTTTTAATCAGAAATTGGAGTTTGTTAGTTGTTACCTTCTCATCAAAGCTAAAAGATAATCCTAATGTTATATCTGACTAGAAGATATCAAAACTTATAATGAATTTTTTTTTCAATTTCTTGGGAAAATATGAGGTTGGGATTAACATTCCACTATTTATGAACTCTTTTTAGTCTCCTCGCTTAAGCATATGAGGTTGGGATTAACACTACTTTATTGTTATAAACATCTTGGTATTGATTGTGTGGTATATATATGGTAGGGCAAGGATGCTGCCTACTTAGTTTTGCATGAGGAAAGTTTAATGCAGGCTCAGTTAGGCCCCCATTAGTTTTATAGTCCTGACATGACAGAACAACAATCCCATTAGTTTTGTAGTCCTGACGTGACAGAACAACGACCGAACAAGTTGTCCGGTTTATAATGTACATTGGACTTAGTTATGCAGACCTGACATGACAGAATAAGTTGTTTTGTTTATAATGTACATTGGATTGGACTAAGACTAATTTATATTGGACTAAGCTGTTTTGTTTATAATGTACATTGGATTGAGTTATGTAGGACTGACATGACATGACAAAACAAATTGTTTTGTTTATAATATACATTGGATTGGACTAAGACTAATTAACATTGAACTAAGTTGTTCTGTTTATAATGTATAATATACATTGGACTGGACTAGGACCAGGACCGGAGTTGTTGATGTTGAATGGCGGATGATAGCAATTAAATGCATCTATGCTACGTAGCGATAGGAATGAAATAGTATATGCTATTTCATGTTTAGCGATAGGCTATTAGAAAATTATATATGTTCTTTACGACATTACCTTAAACTATTATAGCAATTATAGTCCATTAAAGTGACTATTGACTATTGTAGCATTTATGATATACAAGTAGCAAAATAAATTATTAATTTAAGTGTAAATTAAGTGCCAAACATTAAATACATACGAGCACAGAAACATTTTAAAAAAAGGTTTATTTTCTTCTACTTGAATTAAACTCAAAATCAGCAAATACCCTGACGGGAAAGCTGAGAAATATTTGTGGACTTGTTTGCTTGATTTAGAAAAATTAATTATTAATTTGATTTTTTACACTTTTATGTGTTAATTTGTGTCTTTCAACTTAAGAATTGCTTTCATTGTATAGTAGCACCTTGGGCCGGACAAAACTAGATAAGCTTTTTAGGATTTATCGATAATGAGGACGAGAAAGACATTCACATCTTTTCTACAGATGAAAAATCAAAGATAGAGTTTTTAATTTTTATCTTACTTTGTTACACTTTTTTAGGATGTAATAAAAAAAATTTGTAATTTTTGCTTTGTTGACATTAGTTATGGTATATGTCATGTCATGTATTGTGCTATCATCATAAGCCTAAGATATATAGTGTTTTTGTGCGTTTGGTATGTATTTTATGAAAGACATAAATATCCTTTTGGCATTTTCGTGCGTCTAGTATGTATTGTGTAAAATACATAAATGTCTACCATTGAAAATAGCCCTAAAATGTTTGTTGGTGTTATGCACAAATGAAAATCTATTTGTTATTAATTGGAGTACATGTTAATTTCATTTTATCATGTTTTGATTTTTCAAGTACTTTTAGTAAGTTAAACGTGCAAAGAACGATTGGCAATTAGTTTGATGGAAATCTCCTTGTAGCGGTCGACTAAACAAAAGTACACATGTATATATATAAATTATGTGTAACAGATTGTCATCTATCAGACTTTTCAAATTTTTATAAAGATAAAATGATTCAAAGATCCTTCTATTTTTACATAGCTTAAAAATTAATATTAAGCCTTAAAAGTTTAATAGTTGCAAATGTCCTATCCCCCACATTGGTCACGCCTTGCCTCCTTGATTTGCTTTTTAGAGTTCGTTTTGGTTATTCCCTTGCGTTTTCAAATGTTCCTTATTTCAAAAAAAAGTATGCAATAGTTTTCAGTTTTGAAAGAATTTGTTTTGCATATTTAGGTATTAGGTTTAAACCCGTGGAAACCACGGTTGACAAAGTAAAAATATATAGATTTTAAAATGGTTTTATGTAGAAAAGTCATGATTCTTTAATTTTACATGATAATCTAATATTTCCTGTCAAAATAAAAACAATGACGATTTCGCTAATCGGACAAAAAATTAAATAATCGGGATTTTTTCTTGTTCAAAAATTCATTTTTAGGACTTTATCAAAAAAGTTCCTAAAATATTGAAACTTTTTTTTGCATAAAACGCGATTTTAAAAATAGAAACATAACTTTGTTTGTCCAGTAAAATAAAATTTTATAACTTTTGAAAAAATTATGAATGTTGTAAATGTATCTTTTTTTTTTAATTTGATTAACATTGTCATTTGTAGGTATTTAGTAAGTATGAAAAAAATAACTTATACTTCAATACTAAGTCCTCTATAAATTTTTTTTTCCAATTATTGATATCCAAAAATATTCAACTAAAGAAAAACAAATAAAATATAATAGGATTTAAGAACAAAAATAACAATATTTAAATTCAATTAAAAAAAAAGTATTTGTGCTAAATCTGCAATTCTACTATTCTACTCACGTACACAAAATTTGCAACTAAACAAAAGCATTTTGTGTTAAATAATATAATGGGTAACTCTTTAATTCATTCTAAAGCCAAGTTGTTTCTTAAAATTTTAAATATAAGAAGAGACAGCAACACCTTGTATCAAATGCTCAAATCTTGCTATATTTGGTAGCAAATCAATTCCCACCAAATCTCCCCAAGAAATCCAGAAAACCCCATCAGTATAATGAATACATACATAACATTTCAAATTTTCCAATAAAAAACGGAAATTTTGAAAACTACACCGGTTTCAACGAAACATGTTTTCTAAATTTTTTATTGAAAACTGAAAATGAGAACTCAACTCTATTTTCTAAAAACATTTTCTTAGAAAATGAAAACAGTTTTCTACAACCAAACGCACCTTAAAGGTTCCATTTTCACATAAATACCCAAGTGTTGATCCATTAACACCTCGTTTACTTGAAAAGATTGCATGCATTTGACCTCGTTGACCGAATATCTGCTGAAGAGATAAGCTTTACTAAAACTTTATAACATTTTGTTTTTAAATATATTTTTTACATCAATTAAAAATTCAAAATATTATATTTGTTTACTAATAATTTAAATTGTATTAATGTTTGCAGGCTATAACAGATCCATATTTTTATAGTTTAGCTAATTTGGAAACTAAATCATCAAAATAACTGATTTCAAAACTTGAGTTTGAATTTGAAAGGAGTAGATTATCATAGAATGATGTTAGGGAGATCATTTATAGAGAGGTATGCTCATATTTGCCTTTCTTTTATTTAGCACGCATTTGCTCAAGGGTATTTTCGTCTTTTTCAAGTCACAGATCCTAGAGTATCACCCCCAGATACTGCAAGAGTACCTCCATGGCAAAAAACACATAAGCTTCATGTACCAAGGTCAGATTTCACAGATTTTCATAGAGATGTCAATTTTAAAGATTTTTAACTAGTTTCAATTGACTAAAAATACCATTTATCCTATTTCAATGGTATGAATCGATTTAAGCAGCAGTTTGCGGATCTTGAGGAGCAGGAGAGAGGGAAGAAAGAAGAAACACTCCACTTGAAGGCAATACACATTGTTGCCAAGGTAAGTTTCCAACTTTACCCCTCCCTCTAGAACAAAAAGGACCAAAAATACGGAAGTTATAAATAAAATAATTTAATTGTTGTGTTTTTATCAAAGAGAGCATATCTGTTTTTCCAATATAAAAGTTGTTGATGAAATGAATGGGTTTGAAAGGTGTACAAATGCTGCAATTGATCCAACTTTTCGAAGTCCACAAGATCATCAGAAAGGTCAAAAAATGTTCAAAGGATGCATCAAAAATATTTCAAACAACAATAAAAATGCAAGAAGCTTATCAAGAAGTTATACAATTAGTAATACATTCTACTACACCCAAATATATAGGACCCAACAACAGGAACTGTTCCCTTTTAGGATCATTTAAACTTTAAAATTGCAATGCTTCCCTTCCAAAATAACTTTTGTTTCCAGAAAAAAATAAATAACTTTTATAAAGAATCATCAATATAGTTTAAAAGTTTATAAACTTATAAAGTTCTCTTTATTGTCTTCAAACAAACTATCAATGATTTTAAAAATAGTCTGCCAATGAGCAATCAACCACATTGCTTGTGAATACCCTTAACTAAACTTTCACACAATAGGCAAGGTCTCGAAGGAATTTTCAAGTCTGGTTGTCTCCAAAGACAAATAACTTTAACTTTGATGGTGTAAGTATCTTTGTAGAGATCCTTTCTTAATTTCGAATCCTTAATCCGTTGTTAGAATAGAGAATTTGTTAAAAACATTGTATTTTCGTATTCAAATACGTATTCTTTGAATCCACACAGTCACATAAACATACAATCGAACACAGTCGCACTTTTTGATGTCGACCTTAGTACTGAAGTTGGAATTTTTGAATTCCTTGTTTTTTACATTGTAATATAGTTTTGTGGATGTAACTGATAACTGTTTATATGAGTTTAGTGGTTCAAGTTATATCCCTAAAAGTTTTTAAAATCCAATTCATGCTGCAAATAAGAAAGAAATTAAGGTTTGAATCTTTAAAGTCTAATCCATGGTTCTCTTAAGCATTTTATCAAATATATGGTAGATGAA